TTATCTGAGTCTTGCAACAAACAATTGATAGATTGATGCATATATACCATCAGAACAGTGTACATCACTGTCACAACAGTGTTTATTTTCATTCAAAGGCTTTATGATTTTTCCTATAATGGTGGGCTAGTCAAAATGCCCGGGACGATTTTTTTGTCCCAGTCCAGCCCTGTATGCAGCTCATCTGCAGTCTGGTGTTACCTACATCTTCCTATTCAGAAGGCAGAATTTCCGAGTTCTGAGTACAATCGAAAGCACCACGACTGCAGTTTTTGTGTTGGATATAAAAAGCAGGCTAGGATAGAATCAGGCGTGGGATTTCTCTCGTGGAAATGTGCACATTATTTTTTCCTTTCTATTGGTTGGTGGCACACTGCACTGTGGCAAGTAAGCAAGCTAGAAGACTGGCAATCTTGCTGGGTATCCAGTTACAGAAGCAACACATTAACAAGAGAATTCTGAGTAAAACCAAAGTTACTTTGCCTAGTAACTAGTTACTCTGAAAGTAACGAGTAACTTGAAGTAACTGAGTTACTTTTGATAGAAGTAACTAGTAATGTAACTAAGTTACTAATTTAAAGTAACTTACCCAACACTGGTTGTAATATTACTCTTTCTGGGTCACAAAATAAACTTTTAAGATATTTTGAGGCTCCGACGTTTTTGGAGATCTGACACCCACCATCTCGAAGCTAACGGGAGGTCGAGACCTACTACAGCCGGGAGGAACACCGCTTTCCTGGCACATCGTGCCTCAACCTCGGTCGGCTTCGAGCTGGCGGCCTCCGAAGAATGCGGTTAAAACTTTTGTGAGATCCCAAGTTTGTTTTGCGAGAACTCGCAAAAGTCTGTCTTAATTTTTTTTCTCCCATGTCCCTTGCGGGGCTCCGTAGTGTGGCATTTTAATGAATGCAGAACACCTGATGGTTATGTCAATAGTTTGAAGTGGTTATAAAAAAAGGGTAAAAGGTAAATGGCTGCAAATAACTTTTTTTAAAATTGACAATTTATATTTGCATTTAAAGTTATGAAATATGATTCAATAAACATGTTTGTGGTTGTTAAAAAATAAAACTTTTTCAACTCGTATTTTATGTTTTCTTGTCTGATTTTAGATCAATTGTGTTAATACAGTATGTCAAAATGAAAACATAACTGTAAATTCAGACACGTAAGGTTGTGCTGAAAAAATTGATACCAAACAAGGCGAAGTAAATAGTTTTTAAAGGTGAGGCAAAATCAAAAGTAGTTAAAAATGGCCAATTATACCCTGGAGGGTTAAAGAATTTTTTAAAATGCAATAGTTACTTTTCAAGTAATTAATTACTTTTAGTATCTTGTAACTCAGTTACTAACTCAGTTACTTTTCTGAAGAAGTAACTAGTAACTATAATTAATTACTTTTTCAAAGTAACTTGCCCAACACTGCATGTGAAAGCGTTTAATGAGACTTCTTCAAGAAGTCCTCTTCACAGTCACATATGCTCAGAGACACAACGGCGCCCCCTGGTTGGTGAACAGTTGCTTGGTGGAATTGACCTCAAACAGTACAGTGAAGCACTAAAATCCTTCTCATAGTTGCTTTGGTTACGAGCAGGTTGTCACGAAGATGCCGACCTGTCTGCAAACACTCGGAGACTCAGTGAGCAGCAGTGAAACATGCAGGATTACCAGTGGTGTCTACGGTGACATTCTCAGAGTTTTGGGGTTGAAGCTGAGGTACCGGGTGGTGAAACTGGTCTAGAGGTGCACGTGAGGATGAAAGGTGAATATAAGATCTATAACCACAGATGTCTGCACAGGCGTGGGAACGCTAGCCCGCAATAACAGAGTCACAAACAAAGCAAAGTGCTGATCATCTGAGTCAGAAAATGAAATGAGCAAGTGTTACTTTTATGTGCAGCCAGTTTGGTGGCAGGGTCGTCCAGGTGAAGTATGTTATCGGAGATAATTTCATTCTTTGGTTTTTAAGGAAGCTAAAACAGGCAGGATGCACAGACATCTGTGTGTGAAGGAACAGCATTAATCGATTAGTCTTACATCAGGTCATATTGTGGTTAGAATAAATGCCCCGTGCTGCTGCGAGGTGGCTGTACGGGAGGTGTCTTGAATAATTTTGCTTCGCTAAATGTTAGAAAAGCTCATAATCGTATTTGGCGCCTTGGTCAAGGGCTTTATGCGGACGTGAAAAAACCATATCAGGCATATATTTGTGATTGAGCCTTGGTGCGCTCGGTGAAACTGAATTCGAAACGCTTGGATTTTAGAACCATGCAAAACAAAGCGCTCTGTGACGAACGGTTGAATGTTTGCTTAATTCATTCCTGTTTGACTGATTTCAAACCAAGTTTTTTTTTCTAAACGGTTAAAAATGACTTTGTTTTTGAGGAAAAACTATAATAATATTTTCTTCCCCCGTCAGGTTTCGATGCTGGCCCGCTGTCACTGCTTATAAACAGGAAACGCATCCAGCAGAGATAAATAATCTTTCCATTCAGTCTTGTTAGTAGTGGCACGAAACATTCGCCTGCGGCGGTGTCTGAAACAATCCGACTCACAACCGGCCTCTTATCTATTCACAGGCCGCCCACGCCAACTGATCTGCTCGTTTCAGATGTGATGAAATTATCGAGCCTCGCTGGATTGCCTCGCTGCCACCACCACCACACTGGAGAGATTTGATTACTCAGATGTATGCTTCACGGTTCGAACTCACCTGATACCCAGCACATGGATGGATCTAAATCCAGGAAGTTTGTCAAAGACATGCTGCATCTGCAAAGGAAAGAAACAAACTTCTTTATACCGTCGTCACCCTCTTCCCGCTCCAACATAATCAGTTCTGGGCCACCAAACAAGAGCCAGCGTGTGAACATGCACAAACACCGCATGAATGGGAAACCCCCATTGATATCTATCTTTGGACGAGTTAAGCACCTGGACACTTATGACATAATCGTCTTTAAGAGCTCCATCAGGCAGCATCCCGCTGCGCCTGGCGTGACTTTAAAGGACCCAGCTGCCTTTCTTTAGCATCAGAAAAAGAGAAAATAACTTTGAAGGACTCGATTTCTCAGCAGGGGACACGACATGACTCGCAGCAAGGAGCCCAGAGCAAGGAGACAAAAGGAAAACCCTCGTAGGGAGAGCGGGCTGGGGGTAATCTTCTCCCTTTCTCTGAACCCTGACCTTGCTGCCCTGTGGTGTAAGCTTCTTTACTATCAGCCTGGACCAGCAGCGCCGGCACAGACGGTCGCTGATAGAGGAGAAGGAGGAGGAGGAGGAGGAAGGGCAGGAGATCAGACTGTCACAAGCGAAGCTCGTTCAGAAACTGAGAAATAAAGATTTAGTTCTTTGATTAAAAGTGCAGACTGACCCTGATGCAGCAATGCAGAATTAACCAATCAGAGTTATTTAATTCTTCCGTTGCAGCCGTTGTAAAGAGCGAGACCCAGGAAGAACAAGGTCATTACACGAAGAGTGCCTCCCACCTCAACCCCTCAGAATCAGCTGATGTTTTTACAGCAACTTGAGCCCAGATCTTCCCCTCATATGTTGGTTGAAATTTGCTGATTTGTCATTATTTTTCCAGCGTTTCTCAGTGTTTGGCAGATATCCACATGAAAGTGTTAGTGTGGAAAAACACGTTTAAACTACTTGTGTATGATATCCAGTAACCAGCTCTGAACATCAATGTCATGGGATATATCATAGTTTAAATAAACTGCACCAGTTTAACACAGAGGACCTGAAAAGAGTGCTGGTACCCTGGATGTTTAATATTTTCTGATAGTTTTCTGAGGAAAACTGCAGAAAAAGTGAACTTTAAACGAGTTTCCACATGGTGGAGGACCCAAATGCAGACACGTGAAACAAAACCTTTAACAGAAAGCGAGCCGTTTATTGTGGCTGATAAAAAGTACAAACCAAACAGCTAGGCAAAATCAATTTGACCCTAAAAGAAAAAGCCTAAAATGAGAAAACTAGAAAGTAAACATAAAAAACCTTGAACACGGAAACCTGGGGAGATTACGTAAATACCTGGAAGCACAAAACCTTGGAAACATGGCATGAACATAACAGATGACCTGACAATAAATGAATAACAACAGACTACATAAATACACAAGAGGGTGACGAGGGAAACGAGACGTAAACTGGGAGCTTGACACGAGAGACAGAGAGGGAGTGAGACATGACGGGCTGAAGAAACATACATGGATACACATGACAGACAGGGGAGACATGGAACAGAGCACAGGGAGGACACATGTAAACAAGAAGGGTTGATGAGAAAACTGGACCAGACAAATAAAACTAAACATACAGCAAATGCTAAGAAAAACTAACATATTCCAAACACAAAGAATTCACAAAAAGACGATAACCTCAAAATGCTGGGTCATAATCACTTTGTCTTTTGCAGTTTAGGGAGCTTAGGTTTATTTTCCCACTTCTCTCTATTGGTTTGAGTGAGGTAGTTTTTTTTATTCTCATCAGTAGAGGTTGGAAAAAAAGGAATCAGGAGGTCTCACCTGGTCCTGCAGGTGTTGTGCCAGGTCGATGTACTGAGGGGAATCCGGGTCATCCAGCAGCTCTCTGTAACCCGGATCCACCAGGTCGATACTGAACTCCACGATCTGCTCCACCGGACTATCTGGGACGACGTTTGGAAGCTCCGGGTCCTTCAGGACGGCAAACGAGACAAATGAGAGGCGCTAAAAAGGGACAGCTTACGTGCGTCTCTTCGTTATGCTTTAACATTTTAATTTGCATTTCCAAATACATGAAACTGACTGGTATCAGAGAAAATAACAAATCTGCTTGTGTGAATAGAACCACATATGCAGACGAGAAAAAAGAAACGATAGAGCGGGAAATTCAGGCTGAAAGCTCTTTTTATGATTCATATTTCAACAACCATAAGGATCAAAAGGAAGTTTTCATACATCCAAGCACAACAGGAAATAGCGTATCTCTTTGTTTATGTTTGAAACTAAAGCAAAGATATTCCATAATGAAAGTATGAGGAAAAAAATGGCTGCAAACATGAAATAGGCTCGTACCTGTATGTTTAACGCTCCTGTAGGCCGTGAAAGAGCAACGACCTCACTGCTGCGGTCATTTCAGAGAACAGTCAGCAGCGAAATGACGCCATGTTCCCTGCACGGCTTTAAAGGAGTTTGATGTCAAATGTCAGCCCGGGCTTTTTGTCCTCCTCCTCTCACCGTAACCATGAATAGGTCAGTGGTGTGAAAAAGCAGTAATTATCTGAGGGGGAGGAGTGAGGCGCTTAGCAGCTCCACCTGTGCAGCAGGTAAACCCGCCGTCTGCAGACTGAAGGTCATGTGATCCTTCTCCAACAAACACAGCTGCCAACGTGCACATCTTTCAGGTTTTTGCAAAGCTGGCTTTTTCTTTTATTAGCAACTGTTTCACTGAAATGAGCTGAAAAGAAATTGATGTGACTAAAAATAAGTGCAAAAAACTTCACTGGCTGAAAACTGGCTGAGGTGTTAAGTGAAGTGTGAATGAAGTTTGTGCCTCCGTTCATCTTGTGTTCAGCTGGTGATTATCAGAAAACCTCCATCTGACGTCTGATGTGCAGTCGAGGACATTTCAAGAACAACCAGAGGAAAGCTAAAGGAAGCACGAGGACCACAGAAGAATTAAATGTAAGAATCTGTCACTCGATGGAATTTGACAAAGTAATAACTGATCCCAGCACTGTGAACAGTTTTTAAAAAACTAGACACCACCAGGTCCCGTGGATGTGATGGGACTTTCTCCTAAACACTGTGTCTGCTGTTGTGACTCCAGCTTGTAGTCAGCTGACTCAATCTTCATCCCTAAAATAATGAGACCCGTAGCTCTAACGTAACCATGATGAAATGCTTTGTTTGCATTCTGGTAGAGATGCTGTGGAGTGAAGCAGAGATCTGATGATGCTTTGATGGGTCTGAGCTCAGCGTTAAACACCAGCCTCCCTCACAGTCTCCTAAACAACACGACACACAAAGGTGTGTATTTTTTATATAATTAAAAAACAGCAGCAGGTGGAAAGTAACCTGGCTGTTTCACTCGTGCAGGAGTACAGGACACCCCCCAGGGTTGTGTGAGCTCTCTCCTTCCTGCAGTATACAAACAAGCTTGTGATTCAATTCTCAGATCATATAGAAATTCTGGTTGCTTATATAAGAGAGAGGGCAGGGACGCTGCTTTGGTGGGAGGGCAAAACCAAATGTTAAATGTAAATGAAACCGAGGGAAGATTGCTGATCTGAGATCAGGCGCTGACCTTGACTGTCAGTTAAAGCCGGTTTGAAGCGTTGTTGTTGCCCCTTTTTTAAAGAAGGCTAACAGCACAGGGGGAGGATATTATTTTATAAGGGACCTATTGAATCTATTATCAGTTTTGGTATTACGTTTGGTAACCTGTCTGTTGAGCTCAGATCACAAACTCAAAATCTGATCAACAGGGCTGCAAATCTGGGCTGTGTGTGGATCTGATATCATGTTTATTTTAGGCCATGTGCTCCCTTGTTTGTCCGAGACAATAAAGTCTAATCAAATCTACCTTCTTCTTTTTCCACAAAGGGAATCCCGAGCTACTTCCTCCTGCTTTTCCTGGTGGACCCCAAGGCACCCCCAGGTCAGAGGCGATATAATCTGGGTGTGCGGATTTTATCCACTGCAGTGTTACCCTGAGCAAGCCTCTCCAATTCCCACTGAAGGTCACTGTTGACTGAAACCAGGAGGACATTGGAGGACATCAGAGGGCTGGTGGTTTACGTGCCACAGGACCTTCGTTTTAGCACTTTGTTTTGCTTTGTTCTTAATCACCTTTTTCACCGTCTTCTTGTTTTCACACTACACTACACAAACGCTCTGGGAATAAGAACAAGGTGGATTATGCTGGTGCAGGAACCGGAGGGCTCACTGTTGTTTTGGCTCGGACAGACATGAAAGAAGACAAAACCGATCTTTGTGCTTGTCTTATTTATCGATGTAGCGTTAAAAAAAGAAAATCTTTGCTTGTGATTTGTCCACAGTGCGACGTCATCCCTACAGTGGGTCATACAGCGGGACAATGATCCCAAGCAACAGCAGATCTCAGAACGGCTGAGAGAGAAAAGAATCGAGGTGCTGCGACGGTCCAGACCTCAGCCTGACTGACATGCTGTGCTCAGAGAGCTGTGCACAGACAAATACTGCAAACCTCAATGAACTTATGCAACACTGTGAAGAAGAGTGGGCCAGAATCCCTCCACAGTGACGTGAGAGGCTGATAAATCACACAGAAAACGATTACTTCAGCTTATTGCTGGTAAAAGTGATTCTACTCCATCATCAGAGTAAATTAGTTTTCACAGGACTGGTTGAAGGATAAACCTTTGAGTTCTCAAGTACGGAGCAGTTAGTAAGCAGCTCTTAATGGGTTACTTACAGGTGATTACAGGTTAAGAAAAAGGACAGAGGGACAGAAGTGATGCCTTTCACTCAAATTAACTGATATATAATTTCATGAGCGCCCCAGCGTGACATTTTCAGCCTGTCAGACACTTGAGCTCCTTCCTCCTTCAGCTTCCTGCGGCAGATAAGAGCGCCAGATTGATACTTCGTATGTAAATGTAAGTGCTCCTCTGTACCTCTTTGAGCTCCTTGGCAGGGTGGCTCGTTTCAGGGGCGGAGCTTGGAGAGGCACTCGTGGAACTGAAGAAGACAGTGGTGCTGGTGACGAGCACTGGGGGCGCTGACGGGGGATCGGTCTGAGCCTCAGGACCTGAAGAGAGACAGGAGCAACGTTAATCTCAGAATAAACCAACTACAATCTACCTGTATAATATATTTGTGTATACAGGGAGTGCAGAATTATTAGGCAAATGAGTATTTTGTCCACATCATCCTCTTCATGCATGTTGTCTTACTCCAAGCTGTATAGGCTCGAA